TTTTATGGCGTTTTATGAAACATCGTTAATTGTCAACTAACCACAACGTTTCAAAAAGCGCTGTCTTAGAACTCAATTTCACTGTCAATTCAATTAAACGTTAAAGAGGGTTAAGGGATGGGGAACTTTGGCTATAAACCCCCTTTACCTTTCTTTCATTGTTAAAAAGACTAAGAAAAAAAATTATACTTTCTAAACCCCCTCATAATTATAAAGTCTTGCATAAAGGACAAAATTTATTATTTAAATATTTTGTTAGACTATTATGCCCTCAACTAAATTTTTCCACCTTTTCCACTCACTCTCTTCCCACTTATGAAGCACAGATACTTCAAAAAGGGTGATGTATCCGTATCGGATACTTATCGGATACCGATACTCCTCGGATACTCGCGGATACGTATCGGATACTTCTTAAAAGTATCGGATACTTCTTAATTAATTTTGAAGTATCGGATACTTAATTTTGAAGTATCGGATACTCGAAGTTACATATTACTTATAATATTTTGTTTAGTTCTTTGATAAGAGGAATATAGTGAGAGTTAAAGTAATAGAATGTCAAATTGATGTATCCTTGTTGTCTCTCTCACTTCTCTCTCGCTTTCTCACTCTCTCACGTTTCTTCTCTCTGCTCTCATTCTTTTTTTGATGTTGGCATGTAAGGATGATGTTTAATTTGCATTTGCTTTTGCTTTTGCTTTTAGTTTTGGATGTTTTATGAATGATTGAGCACTTTTAGGTTAATAGGAATCTCTCTTTATTTATTAATTTACTTAAGTTTTATTTTCATGCATATTACATTATTAAAATTATAATTTTTTTTTTACGAATGTATTCCCGCTGTACCCGTATCATACTTTTTCAAGTTTTGACATATCGCCATATCCACATTCCCATATCACCATATCTGTATCCGTGCTTCCTAGGCTATCATTGATGAATTAAAAAAGTATGTTTGCTGAAATTTTTATTTAAGAATGGTTTTTTGGCTTTAGCTAAGGTCTTGTGATGTTCACTGATGAAGGGGAACAAGTTGAAGCTATTGACCTTGAAGACTCTTAGTTTTATAGGAATCTTTCTTCTTTATCAAGTTGTCTTTTGCTTTAGGTTTTATTTTTATGCATACTGCATTACTAAAAATTATAAAAATAATATTTTTACGAACGTATTCCTGCCGTACCCATTTCCTAGTTTTTCAAATTTTTCCGTATCGCCGTATCCATATCGTATCGTATCCGTATCCCGTATCTGTATCCGTGCTTCCTAGACGATGAGGTATGCATGGGATTGTTGTTGTGAATGCACACGTGTAGTAGTTGGTGCAATAGGCCCACCCATAGCCTGTTGAGACTCCAACTACTCTATTCGAAATCTGAAGCTCTGTTTCTTGACAATTTTGGTAACTTCTTCTTCTCCGGCGATGATAGCAACGTCATTGTCATCACTCTCCTAGCCAAGTCTGGTCAGTTATCAGGTGAAACTCCGACGATCAACAATGTCGAAACCGATCTCTACGATGAACTCATCAAGAACATCGGGAACGAAAATCAACTACAAGCCGGAAAATTGTCCTCCGGTGCCGGAATCGAAGGAGATCGTCTACGAGGAGAAACAGATCGTCTCTAAATTGAGGCATGTTTGGTAGAGTTGTTTGGTTATACGTATTTTTTTAAATACAGATTTGAGTTTTGAATATATGTATATATATATATATATATATTTGTGTGTATGAGTGTTGTTGAACACATGTATTATTTTCATTGAGATTTGTGATTGTTGATCGAGTTTTAGAAGTTTTTCTTCTCAATTAGATATGTTGATTTGTTGATTAATTTGTTTTGTTTTTGTTTGTTTGCTTGTTTTGATTTATTTTTGTTGTTTTTTATCTAATTTCATTTAACAGAACCAGAGTAAAAATTTTACTCTTGTTCTATTGCTCTTTTTTTGTTTGAGAGAATTAAAGTAAAATTTTACTCTGGTGTTAGAATGACAGAAAAATTTTACTCTCAAGAGGTGGTCATTGCCAAATACTTCAGCCGCCACAAACACTGCTTTCACTTTTTACTTTTATGCAGAGTAACATTTTACGTTTAGCTTCAGAGTCTCACAGTTTACTCGTTTTTCAGAGTAAAATTTTACTTTTATACAGAGTAAAATTTTACTTTTGTGTAGAGTCTAACATTTTACTAGTTTTTCAGAGTAAAATTTTACTTTTATACAGAGTAAAATTTTACTTTTAGCTTCAGAGTCTCACAGCTTGGTCGTTTTTCAGAGTAAAATTTTACTTTTGTACAGAGTACAATTTTACTTTTGTGTAGAGTCTAACATTTTACTAGTTTTTCAGAGTAAAATTTTACTTTTATACAGAGTAAAATTTTACTTTTAGTTTTAGAGTGTAACATTTTATTCTTATTCAGAGTAAAATTTTACTTTTATACAAAGTAAAATTTTACTCTGAAATACACAGTGAAGATGGCTTAATAGGAGAGCTGATAGATACGATGATAATATAGTAAAAGAAATAAATTTTAAAATATTAGGAGATTTTGAAAGTACTTATATAATTCTTATCATTTTTAAAGACAAATTAGACAATGAGAGGCTATCACCAAATCCCTAAGAGCATCTCCAACCCATCCTCCATATCTTCAAATATGGAGGATTTGCTCCTCCAATCCACCCTTCAAATTCATCTCCATTTGGGAGGAGAATGAGTTCATCCTCCATATTTGGAGGGAGGATGACAAAATGGAGGATCCTCCAAAATACTATTCATTTATATATTTGTTATTATATTACAAATAACTTTTAATTTATAAATTTAATTTTTATAAAATTGGCATCATTAAAAAGTATAAAATCATATCTTTAAAATAAGTATAATATTAAATATATTTTACAAAAATTTTAAAATTAAATATTTATTAATGAATAAAAATTACTTTTTGAATAAAGTTTGAATGAAGGAAATGAAAATTTGTAATTGAAGTTTGAATGAATAGTAACCTCCTCTATATTTACTTTTTGAATAAAAAAATATTATTTTCATCCTCTTATGCTATTGCATTGGAGATGCTCAGAGAGATGCAACATAGCTTTCTCTCTCTCACGAATTTTCTCTCCTTGCTCTCTCCACTGATCTCTCTCTCTCTCCTTGTTCTCACGAATTCACTCTCTCTTGCTCTCTGCACTGAAAGCTGTCGATGAAGATTTGCGTTTGAAGTCTCTCTCCTTGCATTTGAAGGTTGATTATACCATATTTGCATTTCTCTCCTTCTATTCACAAATCTGTAACACTATGTTTGGGAACTTAGGAGAGAAAAACAAAAAAATGATTACTTAAATAATAAGAGAAAAGAAAAGAAATGAAATGATTGTGATTTCTCTCATTTTTGTTTGGATAAGGAAGAAGTAAAAGAAAAGGAATGATTGTGATTTCTCTCATTCTTGTTTGGTTATATTTCATTAAGAGAAAAGAAAAGAAATTATTTTTTGTTATATTACCAAAATAACCTTTTTATATTTTCAATCATTTTATTTCTTTTATTTTTATAGGGACAAAATTGGTATTATGAAAATAGTGGTTTCTTTTCTCTCCCAATCTCTCCACTTTTGGGAAGATTGAAAATGAGGCTTATAAGAGAAATGAATTTCTCTCCATTTCTCTCTATTTCTTCCCATTTCTCTCTACTTAAGTTATCCAAACAAATAAGAGAAATACATATCACTCCATTTCTTTTCTTTTCTCTCCAAATCACTCAATCCAAACATAGTGTAAGTTATCATCACTTCGGACCTATATATATATATATATATAACACTGTCTTTCAATTAAGACTAAAAATAAGAAAATACAAAATGAAATCCCTAAATTGATCCATAAACCCTTGAAATTGAAGGGAGTAAAGATCATAAAATACTGTCTTTCAATTGATTTTGATCCCCATCTATCTCTGTAGAGATTCACCGCCCCCCCCCCCTCGGCGGGCGGGCGATTGAAGGGCTTTCATTTAGCTAATTTTCTGAGGTGTAGTCGTAACCATGAGGAAATTAATACTTTTCAGTGCCAACATGGTGGAATTCTTGGAAAATAGCTTTTATTTTTTTATTTAATTATTTTTTTGATAAGCAAGATTTTAAAATTTTGATGAAATAATACAGTCCCTAATATTTGGATTCCACATTATGTAGCTGGGTTCTAGTATCTTGGTCTGATGCATGAAAAAAGACAAGATGCATAAACTACATGCTGATTTGGGTCAAATTTGTTTATTTCATTTCATTGACAAGATGGAAATGGTTCTGGAATTTATTGTTATCTAATATTTTCTTGATAACCAATGCATATACCTTTTGCTACTAATTCTTTCTGTTTCTCATTATGCTTCAGCCTTTGAGGAGCTGTCTTGTTTTTCAATCTGAATTTGAAGAATCACGTAGGGCGTGGGAAAAGCATACAATGAGTTGAAACAAGGAAAGCCAACAATTGAACGCTTGTTTGATTTGACCAGGTTCCAATCCAAGGTAAATTTTTGGTTTAATCAACTTTGGTTATTTTCAGTTTCTAATAAATATGGTTAGGCATAGGCATTCCCTTGAATATAGATAGCCAGTAAATGAAAAATAAAAACAGGGCAATGAAGTGTAAACCTTAGGTATTAGGGACATCGGTAATTTTCAGTTTCTAAGAAATATGGTTAGGCATTCCCCATGAATAGACAAGTCGATAAATGAAAAATACAAACAGAGCAATAAAGTAAACCTTAGGTATTAGGGACATCAAAGGCATTCCACTGGTGTGAATGTTTTTACCTATTGCAACAAAAGACTTCTGGAATTCATGGCACCTTTTCATTTACTGGTGTGAATGTTTTTATCTATTGCAACAAAAGACTCTTGTTTGTTAGTAGCACAGCTGTATTTCACTGGTTAGGAAACTTTGAGAGGGTACTCCAGTTTATTGCAATGTGATAAGGTTGTAATCTGCTGTACTGTACTTTGCTGCTCTATAAAAATAATTGGACCTTACTTCGATAACCATATATATATATATAGAATTCGTCCTGCAAATCACATGCATGAATATGCTCAGCAAATTTAGAACTTAAAATGGCCATTGAATTTTAATTAGTTTGTGTTCATCAAATGTCTTTTACGCTGATTTTTAGTAATTAATTATTATTTTTGTTGGATATAATATTTATCTTTCTGTGTGTTGATTTTCAGTCACTCAAGCTATTTCAGCCCAGGTACATAATTGTAAATTTCCTTGATTTTTTTATTATTGTCTTCCTCTTTCAAGGTCCTCGTCTAGGGTTTTCATCTCAGGTACTCTCTCTCTCTCTCTCTCTCTCTCTCTCTCTCTCTCTCTCTCTCTCTCTCTGGGTTTTACCTTCGGATCTTTGTTTTGCTGTGTTTTGTTTTTGGCTTCTTCATTTAATCTTTATAGATGAAATATTAAATTTTGACTTAAATTGGTTGAATCAGAAGGAAAATGTTCTTCTTATTGAATAAAAATTGATTCCTTTTTATTGTGGTTTCTGTTGTGGTGACAGTACATAAATCTGAAGAAAGGAAAAAGTTTCAGCCATGAGGTATGCCAATTTCTGATTTTGTTATCTGGAGTTTCTTTGGTTCTGTTTATGGTGTCCAATTCACTCCAAAAATTGTAACAAAGTTTATTTGTTTTTCTAAATTGTTTGTATAAATTTTGTAACTTTATTAATCTTAGGGTCTATTTTGCTGCTCATGGTTGAATGCATTTAATATGAAGTTGGGTGATGTGGGTATGACTGAGATTTTTACCATCAACTCCAAAAAAAAAAAAAAAAAAAAAAGATCTTTCTTTATGATTGAGCCTGGGATATAAAGTTTTCATTGATCTTTCTTAGAAAGTGGAACTTGTTAGTTTATTGCTGTTGTTATCTTCAGAAATTTGAATGTGTGTTGTTAGCTTGTTTAAATTTATTTATTTAATTTTTTTTTTTTTGTAGATTTTCAGGGTATGCTCCAGTTTATACCCAGATTAACACATTTTATTAGTTTTCGTGTATTCTAGGCACTAGCATTTTTTTTTTAAAAAATTTCTGGTTATGTTGTATCGAAGTCAGTGCATTTACATTTTATAGTCATCTAATTCAAACAACTAGTATGCATTCATTTGCTCTTTTTACATTTTAGAAATGCAGGTGTCTCCATTGCTACTTTCCATTTTTATCCTTTCTAACGCGGCTACTTTTTCCTCTTCTACAGTAAGCTTCAGAGTGATGCCTTGAGGGAAGCCATAACCAAGGTCTCTCTCTGTACACATGTATATATGTATGCTTATAATTGTTTGTATTTTAGTATCTGTGATTATGGCACTGATGGTGTTTCTATTGACAAGTTGCAGTTAAATTGGCTCAATGTTCAACTTGAAAAATGTCTCTTGTTTCAAGCATTTGACCTCTGCGAGAAGTTGGTGCTACATTCTAACATTCTCTTCTGTGTTTCTCATGGCATATCTGCCTAGCCTTGCTCTTTCCCCTGGCATCAACCACAGCCACATCCCCCTCCGGCACCATCTCCTTCTCTGCCTACCCCAACCCTCACCACCAAACACTATCACTTCTTTCCACTTCATTGTCTATTCCCAACAGCCGAACACCACCACCAACCACTGTTCCAACGCTACCACCACAAAAACAACCCACCACCAAAGCCTCTATCAACACCACCACCATCTAATCACCACCAACATTAAACTCAGTAGCTAGTATTACGGATGAATTAACCAAAATTCTTCTGGTGATGATTAGAGTCGATTACTTGATATTTTAATAACTCGGTACTTTTCATTTTTTACACTACTCTTTAGTTCTTCTCAATCAAACTCGAAGAACAACTGACAACCAAGTATTAAAGCAACTCAGACCTTTGATTGTTAATAGAGAGGTCATAATAATGTTGTCTGAATGGAAGAGAGAGGGAAGATGCATAGGGCAGTACTGTGGGGAAGTTGGAGGTGGGTTCGGTGGTGGAGTGAGTTTAATGGTGGTGATCCTGTGGATGGGGATCTCCATTCATGTCCTCGGTTTGTATTGAAATAGTGTTAATATATATTGTGAAGCTATAGAGAAGCAATTGTTTTCACTAGAACAAAAATGTAACCTCATTAGTGAAGCAATTGTTTTCACTAGAACAAAAATATCATAGCAGCACAAATGTTTATATAATTGGATAACAATCTTTATGTCATGTACAAATAATCTACACACAACTGCAATTTTCTAAAGATGCAGGCTTTCTAAATTCAAATAATTAAAAGATTTACCATCATCATAGAATTGGAATGCCATGCCACCAGCTTCAATGGCAACACTCACGGGTTGATTTGCCACTGCCTTTTGCAATGCCTTCTCGTTGTTTTCAGGAACATCTTCATAATCATCAATTCTAACAACCTTTGTATTTTTCTGTATAAACAATAATTCATTCACAAAGAATGATATGAAGTCTTGGTTTTTTTCACCATGTACATTATTCCTGATCACTCAATTAAAGAAGAACTTGATTCAAACCCTGTATTGGTCGCATGTCCCATCTCTAGCTTTATAGGGGTAATCTTCCTCCCTATCAATACCACCATTGTTGATGATGAACTCAAAAGCATAGTCCATGAGACCCCCATCGCATCCTTCCCAAACACAAAAATTTTAACCTCCTAAAATAGCTAAAAACTAAAATAGTCTACTAAAATAACTTCCCAAACACCCACTTAGAAAACCTTCCACATTTTCGATGAAACATATCCTACATTGTTGGGCACCAAACAGGAGCACAATTTGTGCTTCCATGCAAACACTAATGCTGTATTTGGTTGGAGAATTTGAAAAGGGATTTGGAAAGAGAAATAGAAAAGGTAGGTAAAATGTGAACAAAATATACCTATATTTCACCTAATTTCACACATTTTTTCCTTTTTCCTTTCTCTTTCCAAACCCCTTCCCAAATCCTCTAACCAAACACAGCGTAAATGGAAAGTGAGGCAGACAATAAATCCTCGAAGAGTCATACTCAAAACCATTGATATATGTATTAGCAATCCAATTACATAACACTCTGTTAATAACTCCATTAAGTTAGATAGATCTTCACTTTTTCAACCATGTAACAGCCTCATGTAAAAAAATATTGCTAAAATATGGAAGAAAAATGTAGTTCTAGATAAACGATTCATGTATGGATAGTTTTCTGGAATTTATTGACTTGAATAGCTTTAAAAGTGAAAAACTCAAATAGATGTCTAAAGATCTAAAATAAGATATGACATGGGTAGGCTCACAAAGGCTATAGCCCACTATGAACAACACAAGCCTACTACTTAAGGCCCAATACATAATTCAATTAATGAAGCCCAGCACTGCTGAAGCCCCATACAGCAATAAGAGCCAATGATATCAGGACATATGGCAAGAGAATGGCAAGCCACATCTGCAGACAAAGATCTGAAAAGTTATTGCCACGACACATTGCCATTAATGAGGCCCCTTACAGCATTTATTGCGATACCCCTCCCCGTTGGGACGGCACGCCCTCACCCTGAATAAGGTAAGCTACAGCATAGACTTTCGACCATGGTGACAGGTCGGAAGGGACAACGAAATGATTACCAGAGGATATAAGCAGACGTCGAAGACAAGAAGAAGGTTAAACTTTTCTATCTCTACTCCATCTCTACACTCCACTTCTCTCTCTCTAACTTGCTCGTTGGAGGGTTCGCTAGGGGAATCCCCGTCCCCCGTTGAACTCTTGTGCAGGTCTTCAGGTGGGCTTAGTCATTCGGACATAGGCTTAGGGAGCGTGGATCAGTCCGACCCGTTCTACCATCACAAACTGTATCATCAGTTAAACAGTATCATCAGTTGGCACCGTCTGTGGGAAATTTCTTACTCCGCGCGCTAGTTGTGCTCATTGTCGCTGGAGGCCCTTTCCGATAACCCTTTCTTACCACCCGTGAAGGTGAATGATCACAACTAGATCCATGGCTTCCCACCCCAATGTTTCCGATCACCAAACTGACCCTCCCAAGCCAAACCACCCGCCACAGTACTTTACCGAGCTCACCAACAGCATTAACCGCTTGGCTGAGCAGAACCAAGCTTTGATTAATGCCCTACTCTATGCCTCCTCCACCACCTCCAGATATTCCACCAAACCAAGAATGAGCCCCGACCCACACTATCTAGTAGCCCCATCCGCCCAACTTGGAGGGTTTGCGACCACCTCCCCCAGATATAAACCTACCCCCCGGGTTCCACATCAGTCGGTCCAGGCACCCACCCCTAAGGGAAAGGCCAGCAGCGTCCAGCCCCTATTCCCTTCTGGTGGTGACAACATCCCTAATTGGGATGCAGAACTCCGAGCCATGAAGCTCCAGCTCCACGGAGTCATGCAGAACATACAGCACAAACCATCCACTACAACCAACTCAAAATTTGTTGCTTCTATTCGGGACAAACCTCTACCCCCCAAGTTAAAAATGCCCATCATCGACTCTTTTGACGGTACGATAGACCCAGTCAACCACCTGGAGACCAACAGAACCCTCATGATCCTCCATGCATTCCATGACGAAATCATGTGTCGGGCTTTCCCCGTGACACTCAAGGGGTCAGCTCGACTTTGGTTTAGTTAATTGCCAGCGGACTTTGTCTCCACTTTCCAGCACCTCAGTGACTCCTTCCTCAGCCACTTCATTGGAGCTCAGCTCCAGCGACGTCCGGTGACCCAACTCCTCAACATCCGTCAGACCGAGGGGAATCGCTACGCAGTTTCGTTACCCGCTTCAACACCGAAGCCTTGCAGGTAGCGAAAAATGACGACAAGGTCATCCGTACAGCTTTCGTGGCCGGTCTACGGTCATCTGACTTCCTTTTCTCCCTCTCAAAAAATCCCTCGACCTCCATGGCAACCCTGTTCTCCAAAGCCCAAAAATACATGAACGCAGAAGATTCCCTAGCTGCTCGCCAAGACCCTACTGCCAAAAACCTCACCATCAAGGAGAAGAGAAAGGATTCAGAAACCAGAAACACCCAGTGCAATAACCAAACACCCCATTATACGGACCGACCCCCTCGAGCCGACCGGTCAGCACCAGCCCGACCGCCCAGCCGGTTCGAGTGGTACACACCCCTCAATTCGCCCATGGAACAAGTCCTCAATAAGATCCAGCGTGACTACCCCCTAAAATGGCCCTAACCATCACGAACTCCTTCCAATCGGAAAGACCAGTCCAAATACTGTCGTTTTTACCAGGACCACGGCCATAATACCGAGTATGCTAACCTCAAAGATCAAGTCAAAGGATTGATTCGTCAAGGTTGTTTCAGTCGATTCACGGAAGCTCGCCCTCAGCAGAGACAACAGATTGAACCCATCAGAAACAACCGCAGACGCACTCCTCCCCGACAACCAGCACAACCTAACCAAGGTCATGATCACCCTCCACAGCAACCTTATGCACAAGGTCACCCGCCCCACCTGTTGAAGAAATCAGAGATATTTTCGGCGGGCTTGCTTGTGGAGGACCATCCCACTCGGCTCAGCGGGCAGAACTGAGAAAGATAAGGTAGGGCTCAAACAAAGAAGTTGTCACTCTAGACCGACCCTCCAAACAGCCCAGACAGTGGACCGAGCCCATTACCTTTACGGATGCCGACTGCACAGGCGTCCGTTACCCTCATGACAACCTTCTTGTCATCTCGGCCCTTCTCTCCAACTACAAGGTCAGACGGGTTCTCGTCGACAATGGCAGTTCTTCAGACATCATCTTCCTCAACTGCTTCCGCCAGCTCAAGATCAGGGAAGAAAGTTTGTCTCCCTTCCAAACCCCTTTGGTCGGTTTCACTGGCGACTGGATGACCTCCATCGGCTCCATCGACCTTCCCATCACAATCGGCGAGTACCCGCGACAAACCACAAAGTTGCTCACCTTCCTTGTTGTCGACTGCCCCTCTGCCTACAACATCATCCTTGGCCGCATTGCCCTCAATGCTTTCCAATCTATTACATCCACCTTCCACCTTGCCATCAAGTTCCCCACCGATCTTGGGGTCGGCATAGTGAAGGTAGAGCAGACCGTGGCCAGAGAATGTTATGTCGCCTCACTTAAAGAAGTCAAGCTGAAGGAGGCTATGATCATTGAAAGACTTGGCGTCAGAGACAAGGACGAGCTGGTTAGGGGGGAACCAGTGGAAGAACTTGTCGAGGTCCTCATCGATCCCACCAACCCAGCAAAAACTGCCAAGATCGGCAGCCAACTTTTCGCCCAGGCTAAGGCCTACCTTACTGTCCTCCTGATCGAACATAACGATGTATTTGCCTAGACCCACTTAGACATGCCGGATATTGACTCCTCCTTCATAACTCATCACCTCAGCATTGAGCCCCAATTCCGACCCTTCTGCCAGAAGCAGCGCATCTTTCATCCGGAGCACAATACTCTCATAGTTGCAAAGGTAGATAAGCTCATTGAGGCACAATTCATCAAGAACATGGACTACCATAGATGGTTGTCAAACGTGGTCTTGGTCCATAGAAACAATGGCAAATGGCGACTCCGTGTCGACTACTCCTACCTTAACCGAGCTTGCCCCAAAGACAACTATCCTCTTCCTCGCATAGATCTGCTGGTTGACGCCACAGCCGGTCATCAAATGCTCAGCTTCCTGGATGCCTTCTCTGGGTACAAGCAAATTCTGATGCACCCGTCTGATCGGGAACACACCTCCTTCATCACCGATCAAGGTACCTACTATTACCGTGTGATGCCATTTTTGGTTAAAAAATGCTAGGGCCACCTACTGACAGTTGGTCAATGCTGTCTTCCATCACCAGATAGGCTGGAACATGGAAGTATATGTCGATGATATGCTAGTCAAGAGTAAGCTCTCCACAGATCATCTGGCCGACCTGCGAGAGACCTTCGCTACCCTATGAAAGTACCAAATGAAGCTCAATTCGGAGAAATGCGCATTCGGCGTAGGATCTGGGAAGTTCTTGGGTTTCATGGTCAGTCAGCGGGGCATTGAAGTTAACCTTGAAAAGATCAAGGCCTTGATTGAAATGCAGTCTCCCAGAACGGTTAAGGAGGTTCAGAGACTTACTGGCCGAGTTGCCGTCCTCAACCGCTTTATTTCACGTGCAACGGATAACTGCCTCCGCTTCTTCAAAGTGCTTTAGCAAACTTTTGAGTGGACGGCCGAGTCACTTCTTCAAAGCCTCTTCAAACTCGGTCGTCCACTCAAAAGTTTGTCGAAGCACTTTGAAGAAGCGGAGGCAGTTATCCGTTGCACGTGAAATAAAGCGGTTGAGGACGGCAACTCGGCCAGTAAGTCTCTGAACCTCCTTAACCATTCTGGGAGACTGCATTTTAATCAAGGCCTTGATCTTTTCAAGGTTAGCTTCAATGCCCCGCTAACTGACCATGAAACCCAAGAACTTTCCAGATCCTACGCCAAAGGGGCATTTCTCCGGATTGAGCTTCATTTGGTACTTTCGTAAGGTGGCGAAGGTCTCTCGCAGGTCGGCCAAATGATCTGTGGAGAGCTTACTCTTGACTAGCATATCGTCGACGTATACTTCCATGTTCCGGCCTCTCTGGTGATGGAAGACAGGATTGACTA